ATGTTTTTTGTCCTGACATGTAATGCTTTACATTTTATTTTTTAATTTCTAATCGGTGAGCTTTATCAAAAAAACACAAGAGGTAAAAAAGTTACTAAACAAACTAAACTATCCAAATTAAAGCATTTGCATGTGTTTGATAAAATTTTTCTTTAAATTTCGTTAACAAGAATGATATGGGTAGTTTATTTCAACCCCTTCCACTCATTTTAAAAAAGTAAAAAAATTACCTGAAAGTGTGTTTTCATATCAGTAATGCTTCCATAAAATTTCATTAGTCTATCTCTTTTCGTTTTCAAGATAAAAAATAAAAACATTATTTTTCCGCCATCTTTGTACCGCGATATCTCCCTAATGGTTGACTTTTGACCCAACGTTTATAAAGCAAACTACCCTTTATTTTGAACAAGGAATCACCCCCTAAAGTTTTTCGCATTTGTTTTGAAACACCCTGTATATTGTATATATTAAAGTTAAAAAGACATTTCTTTGACAAATTTAAAATTTTGTGATTTAGTACGAGGCAACCTAACATAACCTAACATATATCAGAATCTCAAAATTAACTGTCATCAAACACCAAAGTTTTAGACTGCTTTGTTTAAAGCTGTACCTAAACTAATTTTTCAAGTAGACAAATGAGTTGAAAAATGGAATCAAGCCGAGAAAATTTTTGCACAATAATTTTTTACAATTATGCATTGCCGAGTTGGTTTCTGTTTTCGGCAATGAATCACCACATTAGTCGACAATTTCACGTTGCTATGGAGAATTTAAACTTGGACAGAGTAGCCTTAGCGACGATCCAAGAACTGGTCCACCAACAACGGCAGTCGCCCAGGAAAACGTATATGTTGTACGTAAGCTGATTCAAGAAAATCGACATGTCACATGTCGGGAAATTGAAGCTTCATTGGTTATTTCAAAGACCTCAATCCAAAAAATTTGACATGAAGAATTATCTGTAAAAATATTAGTTCTTCGTTGGATACCGCACCTCTTGATGGAAGAACAGAAAGCAATTCGATGAGAGTCGATGAGTGTCAAAAACAATACACCGGTTTAACACAGGAAGCTGAAAAAATATATACAGCAATGTCAGTGGTCTTGAAATCTGGATTTACTCTTATGAATCCAAACATAAACATCAATCGGCTGTTTGGATGTTCCGAGGTCAACCAAAACCGATGAAAATTATCCGTTCTGGAAATGTTTCCGAAAAGGTGGCGGCATTATCTCAAAAGCTGGTAATGTAGCAACAATTCCTGTGCAAGATCAAAGAACTGTTACTGCTGATTGGTATATATCTATTTGTTTGCCGGAAGTTATTGCTGAGTTTCGAAAAACCAACCCTCCACGACAAATGATATTCCACCATGACAATGAAAATTTCCAAATAGCTCGAAGAACAATTGACATTTTAAAGCAAGAAAACATCGAATTATTGGACCATCCTCCATACAGTTCCGACCTAAGTCCTAACGACATTTTACTTTTCCTAAAATTAAGAATGAACTGAGTGGTCAAAGATTCGAGTCCCCAGACAGTCAGTGCCTTCAAAACCGCAATTCTGATGGTACCAACGCGCGTGGAATGACTGGTTTCCAAATTAGTTCCAATAGATGCAAAAGTGCATTTCTCTGCGTGGAGGATGCTTCGGAAAATACTAGTGTTTAACAGTTATTTACTGCATTTTTCTCCCTCTATATGCAAAAGACAACCCTCGTATAAAGTTTCTGCGTTTATTTTATAATAGTTACTTTGCATAAAAGTGTATAAATCTTAAAATTGTTATTTAAGCAGCGTGCACATGATCGTTTCTAGATTTGTTTAGAATTAACTAATTAGATTTTTGTTCTTGTATTTTTGCATCTAATACTACTTGTTCAAAATAAAATACAAGTGAATTTTTCAAAATTTACTTGGTTTCTCCTGTAGCGCCTCTATATTTTTGTTAATAAATTAATTACATTAACTTATTTATTATTTAGAATTATACAGGGTGAGTTTCCTACGATGTTCTCTATGGGTATCTCGGAAACTACTGGAGATAGAGAGTCGGTTAAATGGGGAAAGAATTGCAGTTTTGTGGGGTCATAAATATGCGCCTTTCAGATTTTTGAAAAAGTTCATGGCTTACTAGATATTTCGAAAAAAAGAAATTTCGGCTATTTTAAAAATTGTCTCTAATTCCATTATAAGCTATTTTAGACAAAAAGTTTTCAGACAAAAGTTGTAGATAATCACATCCTTAATGAGACTGTGTCCTTCGTTTTTATCTAAAGCCTGTCATTTTTGACATATGACACAAACATATGTTTTTTTAAATGGACACCATAGTTGGCCATGACTTCATAAAAAGCGCCATTTTGTAAGCTTTTCAGCGATATAAGATATAATATGTTTTCTTCGAAAAATTACTGAGTTATAGCCAATTCTTATCATTTTTAAATAATTTCACTTAGTTAGCCATGGAAACAAGTTTAATCGTCTTTGCTCTCAGAAATGTGAAGCTGTCACATCGAAACTTTATAAATTAAAATAAACAAAAATTGTTAATATGAATTTTTCAAATGAAGAAAAGCGTGTAGGATTATTGGTTCAACTTTTTTTAACCATACATTTTCGAGGATACGTTGACCGGTGAACGTTACGTTTTTTAGAGAACGGTTTTTAAGACATGTTAGAAAAGTTAAATTTAGTTATAGCCAATTTTTATCTTTCTTGACTAATTTCACTTAGATTGCATGGTATTCTTATTCTGTTATGATTTGTAACTTATAAAAAGTCAGAATATATTACTAAACGGTTCTTTACAATTTACATTACACAAACTAAAACTTAAAAAATAATATCACTACATACACTTTAAGTTATTTTAGAAAATGTTCAAAAAATCCGCCATTGTTTTGAGTTGCATCTTTTTAAAACTGAATTACTACCTATTCTCATAGAAGAACCGGTCGACTTAATTAAACTTCTTTCGTACCTCCACTTCTAGTGCCTCTCTTAATTCATAAGTTCTTTTGTAAACCTTATTGTTACCTATACCGCATAAAAAATTCTAAAATGGATCGGTCAGGTGATCGGGGAGGCCCATGCAATTAGTCCACCTCTTCCTATCCCTGCGTTTGTATAATTATGATATAAATAATTTTTAACATTTCTCTCGTTATGGGGGGTGGGGGGTGATGTGTCATAATAAAAGTCATGTTGGAACCACTATATTGATGCGCGAGTATCTACACGCTTTTCTTCATTTGAAAAATTCATATTTACAATTTTTGTTTATTTTAATTTACAAAGTTTGGATGTGACAGCTTCACATTTCTGAGAGCAACAGCGATCGAACTTGTTTCCATGGCTCACTAAGTGAATTTGTTTAAAAATTATAAGGATTGGCTATAACCCAGTAATTTTTTGAAGAAAAGATATTATAGCTTATATCACTAAAAAGCTTAAAAAATGGCGCTTTTTATGAAGTCATGGCCAACTATGGTTTCCATTTATAAAAACCTAAGTTTGTGTCATATGTCAAAAATGACAAGCTTTAGAAAAAACGGAGGACACTATCTCATTAAGGATGTGATTATCTACAACTTTTATCTGAAAACTTTTTATCTAAAATAGCTTATAATGGAATTAGGGACAATTTTTAAAATAGCCGAAATTTGTTTTTTCGAAATATCTAGTAAGCCATGAACTTTTTCAAAAATCTGAAAGGCGCATATTTATGACCCCACAAAACTGCAATTCTTTCCCCATTTAACCGACTCTGTATCTCCAGTAGTTTCCGAGATACCCATAGAGGACATCGTAGGAAACTCACCCTGTATGTTTTAATGGATTCTAATTTTTATTGATAGAAGATAGAGCATAAAACAAATTTGGGAAATTATTCAGTGCACCCTATTTTATATTTTTAACAAGCTAGAAAATAAGTCCATTGAGAAATCAAATTTCGAGTCAGTCTTAATAAAACCCCTTTACGGTCTCGTCAATTTTTTTTGTTTGATATGCTCCTTTCTTAGTCTCTTTATACGCTGGAATTTACTGCATGCTCTGTATAGGTACTACCCTAACAAACAACTGACAAATCATTTATATTAATAGCAGAGATGTCAATAACTTCTAAAAATCTTAAGTACTTGGTTTACAAAAAATATATTTTATTAAATTAGCTATCTCAGTTGGTACTTTAAGGACCGGGTCCGGCAATAGTGCGTCGGGCATCTGTAGATCCTAGAATAAAAAACTTGGGAATTTTGTTTAACTGGAAATTTAATGTATGTACTAGGATCTATTTGAGAAAAATATTTTAACTTCTATAGGGTGGCTCAAAAAAGTGTGAGTGGATCGGAATGATTTTTTTGAATGGAATACCCTGTCAATTATTGCATTTTTGGCCTACTTTCAGATCAATTTACATAATCCTAAGAGAGATATTAATAAATAAACAAAAAATATATATTTCAGCCCTGCTTAAAAAAATCATTAAAAATACAAGAACTGTCCTGAAATCAAAACTATATTAGGTATTTACTTTAGCTGCTCTGTACTTACTTTGCTAGAAATATGGTAATCGTAAATCATTCAGGATGTTCAAAATTCTACTGCAAACTTTTTAAAATATAAAATAAATTTTCTTCGTTTTTTTTTAAAGAATACCTTGTATATTATTTTTTCAGTAGATGGAGAATTAAAAAATGAACATTTTTTGTATTTAAAGTATTTCAACATTTTTAACAATTTTGCAGATATTCGCGGTTTTATATTCCATATGGCATTTTCCACAGTAAATTTTTATCACAGCCACCCAATGATTTTCTCTCGTATTTTACCCTTGAAAGAGCCATATGAAAGAGCCATAAATAAATCGCTGTACTTAAACTGCCATTAAACGGTAGCCTACTGAAATGCCGTTAATAGATATGACGTCGTTGATGTGACGCACTTGACGGCTTTTTAATGCTTTGGTTAAAATGCCGTCGAACGTTCAAGAAAGTACTGGTAAAATTGTTACTTTACAAGATTTAACAAATATGAAGATATCCGATCAATCAAGAAAAGAAAACTTAGATGACTGCTTAAAAATATACTTAAAGCTAAATACGGTAAACTAAAATATTCTATTATCGTCTTATTAGTCCCAATAACTACTCTGTTTTCAGGTGCCAATGTAGCTGTTTTGCGAGACGAAGACAATAATTTCAGAGGACTTTTCATTCAAAATCCAAACATGAAAAGTACAATGAAGGCTTTTCCTGAATTTCTTGCAGTAGATGCTACATATAAATTATGATGATGCAGTTGTATTTGAAAGTAAAAATCAGTCTTCTGTGGAACACTCTGAGGTTTGTGACGAGACAGACCTTCAAGACAGAAACAATATGAGTGAAGCGCTCATATTAGATAATAAAAATATATCAACTCTTGGTCAGTCACCTGTGGAAGCACCTGAGTTTTGTAACGAGCTGGTTATAGAGGAGGAACTGACACGAGATGAAGCGCATCAACTTTCCTATATTAGTGATTCAGTTTTAAATGACGTCAACAAACAGTCCCATCAAATAGTTGATGTCAATGATTTCGCTTTGACAACAATTAAGATGCCTGTTTCAATAAAAAAACGAGGACGTCCAAAAGGACAGGACTTAACAGTCATAGGACCATCAAAGAAAAAGAAAAGATGTACTGTAGCATTTGCTAAACAATCCTATCATGAAAAACAAAATGTAATCCTGAATTGCTTCGTTAAGGATCGTAACATCGTTAGAGACATTACAAATGGGAAATTTCTTGAAACTGTAGACCTTAAAATGCTCCCCGAAGAAATATCACATGCCGTTCTTGATGAGGCTGCTGATATCCACATGATAAGGTAAGTGTAGCGATACCTAATAATTACCAAATTAATAACTAATAATGTAAATTACGATTTTTAGAAGTTTTTACACCGAGAAAGCCTTTGAAAAAATAACCAATCTAGTTGAGCAGAAACGACTTCAACAAAGTTGGTTTTGTTCTGTGTGCAGTGAAGACACGCAGAAAAATCATGTCACTTTGTTGCAGTAGATGCCTTCTATGGAGACATATCCGTTGTGCAGGATTGACTAAGCGACCTAAATCAAAACTGTGGTTTTGCAGAGAATGCTATCTGTAGCATTATTTTTAAGTTGACGTAGTATTATTTTTAAGTTGTCAGTTCATAATTTGCAATAAAAACCTGAAAACCAATGCCATATATTATTTTTAAGTTGTCAAATATATTTTCAAACCTACAACGGCAACATATGCGTCTACCTACATACACCGTTCCAAGTTAATTTTATTCAGAATAAGCCATACAACATTACATTACAAATTATTAAGTATTAATCAGTAGCCTACTCTGCATTAACGATTAACGGCATTTTAGTATGCGACCGTTCGACGGCATTTTAACCAAAGCATTAAAAAGCCGTCAAGTGCGTCACATCAACGACGTCAAACCTATTAACGGCATTTCAGTAGGCTACTGTTTAACGGCAGTTTAAGTACAGCCTAAATAAATATAGGTAATGTGTGTATCTGCGAAACCATTAAAATTTTGAAATACTTTAGATACAAAAATTTTTCGTTTTTAACTCTTCATTTAATAAAAAGAAATAAATAAAAATTATTTTATATTTTAGAAACTTTGGCGTAGAATTGTAAACACCATGTATAATTTAAGATTACCCTATTTATAGCTAGACCATCTAAAGTAAATACCTAATATAGTTTTGATTTCAGGGCAGATCTAGTATTTGTAATAATTTTTTTAAGGATGGTTGAAAAATATAATTTTTTATATATTTTGAAATATTTTTAAAAATATTGAAATATATTTACTCATATCTTAAGATTATGTAAAATGATCAGAAAGGAAGCCAAAAATGCAATAATATACAGGGTGTCCCATTTAAAAAAACCATCCCGATCCACCCACTAGTGATGGGTTGTTATTTAACTATCTGTTATTTTATAACAATTATTTATAAATAACATAACGCAACCGTTACTACTTCTAAAAAATAACAGATATAAAATAACGACACGTAGAGATCGGCCGCTCGTGAAACGAAAAACGAAGTCGCCGCTCTACACCACCACGAAATTCTATGCTGCTCGAAGCAATTCAAAAAACAACTAGTATGGATGGAAAACATGTTATTTCATCAACCATCGATACAGGCGGCGAGACAACGGACAACGGAGTGGGGAAAGCGCTACGGCGAACGTAGCTGCTTCGGTCGAAACCGTCGATGGTCGTATTGGGTTGCAACAGCTTAAAAATAATAGGATATAAAAGCAGCAGGTTTTTGAAACAGTTGCGGGCATAACGCCTGGCGGTCGAGATAACAGGAGTGGGAAAGAAACGCTGCTGCATCGGTCGATTGTCGATGGAGGCTCGCAACGGGTTGGAGAAGCAGTCATTTTAGATATGTTGTTTTTCAACCTGTTAAGAGCATAACAGGGCGGCGGTTAAGATAATCGGAGTGATGGAGGTTTGAAACAGGTTGGGGAATAACGCATCAGTTGTTTTAGATACATTCTGTTTCAACCTGTTACGAGCATAACGGACGGAGGTCGAGATATTATGGCGCTGTATGTTTCAGTACTTACTTATTAAGTTTCAATATTTAGGTATTTATTTAGGAATAATATTTTAAGATTTTTTAAAAATGTATACAGGGTGTTTGGAAAAATCTGGTCATTGATTAATCACGATCCTGCTTAAAGCACTTGACGTAAAAAGCTGACTTTTGGAAAACGGATTGACTTTAGTGTGTAGAGGTTCGATAAGAAGGGATTTTTCGAAACTCGAATTCTAAGGGGGTGAAACTACTCTCAAATATTAGAATATTTTTTATTTAAAAACCGGTGAGTTTTTCGGAAAAACTCTTAAAACATGTATATTTTATTATGTTTTACATATTTTAAGATTTTTTAAAAATATATACAGGGTGTTTCATAAAATATGACCATTGAGTAATCACTATTCTGCTTAAACTGATTGACGTTTAAAGCTGATTTTTGGCAAACGGATTGACTGTGGGGTTTAGGTTCGATAAGGAGGGGTACTCAATCGAATCTCAAATTCCAACAGGGTGAAACGCCCCTCTAATATTACAATATTTGTTATTTAAAAAACGGTTAGTCTTTCGGGAAAACGCCTGGATACGCATAATTTATTTTGTTTTTTTTACATATTTTGAAATTTTTTAAAAAATCATACAGGGTGTTCTAAAAAGTTGAGTAATTGATTAACCACGATTCTGCTTAAACTGCTCGACGTTAGAAAGCTTATTTTTGGCAAATGTGAGAAAATTTTATCCAGTTTGTATGTTAATGGAAATTTTGTTTTTTGCTTTACATCACCATTAGAAATTATTAATTCGACGCGAACGAAGTCGCGGGTACACGCTAGTTTAAGTGTAAAATTAATTCGAACTCTAGTGTGTAGTTGGTTTACTTATGAAAAATATACTACACATTTTCTTATATTGCTATTTTTTGACCGCCAATGTTAAAATCATAACTAAGAGCTTCTCGCCCGTCGAGTGAGATGCACCCTGTACACTGCTACGCAATTCAGGATCTACCCGGATCGAGGGGCAGGGCGTAGGTAGATCGGAATGTATAGGTATAGACGAGTGGCAGAATTTTGGTTTTTTTTATATCGCAATTTGTAAACAGCGCTTATTTGTAAACAACCACCGTTTTTAGAGAGGTATTTTAGATAACAATCGATATTTAGAAATGTTTTGACACCCTGGAAATACTACCACCGAGCACGTCATTTTTGCAACTTGCAACTGCGTTAATACGCCTGGCGGTGACCGCCTCATACTCTTTCAGATATTTAGCAGTAAAATAAAGAAACCTGTTATTTTTAAGCTGTTATTTTAAGCTGTTTTTTATAAATAACTATAACAGTTTCAACTGTTATCTAAAAATAACAGTTTTGCCCATCACTACCACCCACACATTTTTGAGCCATCCTATAGAAGCTAAAATATTTTCCTGAAACACATTCTCGTACATACTTTAGGAGTGCACTTAATCAAAATTCTCTAGTTTTTTATTCTAGGAGCTACAGATGACCGACGCACTTTTGCCGGACCCTGTATAAAGTAAAACGTAAATATAATTGATATGTCGATTGAACTACCCAACCCTCAAACGACCTTACCTTCACGTATGTAGAAACGGCATGAACGTTATTCGAATTTCTCAAAATGCTGGACGCCAACGAAGCTACACTAAGGCCGATGGCCCAGGAAGTGTAACCTTTTAGCTTGATGACGTCGTATGCGGAGTTGACCACTTGTTTGTGGATGTCTTTCCAATTTTCGGGATCGTTTTCCGTTCCAACGGCAGGGTTCAATTCCCTCAGTCGAACACCGGCAACGTTGACTCCTGACCAAATGGCGACTGAAAAGGAAAATAGTTTTGTGAAATTTTTGGCGAATGCGCACAGAAAAAAAACCAATATTTTTAATTTTTAAACTAAGAACATGAAAATTCTTGAAAATATATGCTTCCATTAAGAATCTTTTTCTCTACTTAAGACATTATTCTTCAAATAAGAATTTCAGTTGTTTTAATGTTAGAAAAATATATTTTTAAAAGATTTACATTGTTTTAAAAATATATGCTTTTAATGAAGAATTCTGTTATACTTCGTTATAGTTACATGTTTTTTTTGGATTTAAATATATTCTAATTTTCAAACAATAATAAAGTAATTTTAATACCAGAATATGATATTTTTAATAAAAAAATATCATTTTACGAACTAAAGCGAAATTATATAACAAAAATATTTTATCCAAGAATAATAATATCTAAATTAGATTGTTTTAATATTAAGAATATAATTTTTCTTAAATGAAGTAAATATATTTTTTTCCATAGCAACTGTTAAAATTGCCTTATATCTATCAAAATATACTCTGTTTTTTTTTCTCAAGTAAGATTTCGACAGACGACGACAGAAAAAAAGCAGATGACATCCATACCAATCTATTTATTCCACTAAAAAAAGTTTCTAATATTTTTTAAGTTAACTATGGATGGATTTATATATAAATCCGTCATGCGTTGTCTTTTGTTGTTTTTAACCAGTTTTATTGGTTTATTTTAAAAATGACAGATCATATTTTGAATATTACTGGAGTGACGGAACGATGAACGAATCTCGAACGCAGATGCGTATGAACTGGCCTTTAGGTTTTTGAGGCTTGTCAAAATCTTGTCAAATTAGTGGTTAACATTTTTTGTCAAATTATGTCAAATACACTGCGTTTTGGAAGATAATGTATTTTGATTCGTGTTATTACGTGTATTTTGTGTCTTTTGAAATTAAGTGAAGGAAGAATTGGGGGCAAATTAACTGTAGACTCAGAGGACAGTTTATAGTTAATATTCGGTACCCATCAGGTAGAGAGTTTTATACACCGATAAAGTTACCATTAATAAAGTTTGTATATGGTTTGTATACTATCTCGTCGGACATAAAAACTACTGGGCTTCGGTGAACTATCCTGACACACGATTTTTCCTAGAAAATGAAGCTTATGTTACCTTAAAATGAATTTCTGGGATTATTTGACTAAAATCTGATGTGGAAAAACACGTTTCACATAAAAAACATTCTTAAAAATGTTGTTATTTTATTTTTATAGCAAAATACAGTGTGTTGCATACAAGAAACTTTATTTTATATAATTACGCATGTACGAAATACCTATGAAACATTGAAAACCGACGTTATGCCACGATCCACGATGGTTTTTGCAGTTCACAGTTCACAGCACAGCTTTTTAAATTTTTAATGCCACTTTTTCACAGTTATCACCGGTTGAAGTAAATAAAACTTGAATTAAACTCACAAGATAGCAATAATTACTTTGAAAATGGATGCTATAAACACATTTCGGAATTTCTTTAATGAAAGCGGTTTAGATTTTGAAAGATTATTATGATTTTTGAAGATTCCGACTTTGACAAGAGAAAATTATTTCTGTTTTTGTTTGCCGTTGTTCATAGCGACCGCTATAGCAGCGCCAGATCGCGTATAACGGTCGCGATCCAAAATAATTTCGCGGCCCAAAATTTTTACGGGCTTTCCAATCTAAACTTGTTGCATTTATCTATGCGATAAAGTTACCATTAATAAAGTTTGTATATGGTTTGTATACTATCTCGTCGAACATAAAAACTACTGGGCTTCGGTGAACTATCCTGACACACGATTTTTCCTAGAAAATGAAGCTTATGTTACCTTAAAATGAATTTCTGGGATTATTTGACTAAAATCTGATGTGGAAAAACACGTTTCACATAAAAAACATTCTTAAAAATGTTGTTATTTTATTTTTATAGCAAATTCCATAACCGATAACGAAAGAGTCGCGGATTTGTTTATATCCGTTTCTATGTTTACGCTGACAGTAGTGAAGGTCGAGTTTTGACAAATATTGCGAATTGATACATGGTTGTCAGATCAGCTAGTAAATTATCCGGAAATTCATGCATCTGTTTTTAAGGAAAAAAATGACGTCATAGGTTTTAAAATGTTTTTTTTTTAATACGAATTAGGGTAAGCTATCACTTTGGTGCAACAAGTGGATTATTTTAAAGCAATTTTTCTGAAATAAAATTTGCAATGAAGTTTTGTCATTAGGCACAATTAGATTAGCCTGGTTATTTGGAGGGTGTTAATGCATTGGTTAGCCTGGTTATTTGGGGGGTGTTAATGAAATGGATAGGTGGTTATTTGGTGGGGTTGGTTGCTTAAGCGTGTTTTGATTGCTTTTGTTTCGTTCTTGTTGTTTTTTTTTAGTTTTCCCATTCACACATTACCAACGCATTTTTATTATTAAAAATAACTATTTTTTCAAAATAAAAATAAAAAACAGAAAAAGAAAATTCAGTGGAACTGGCAACATTGCTTTTCCTTCTGACGCTGTCATGTTAAATCAAGTGTGAAAATTCTCCATAACGTCAAATATGTGTCAAAAACGACTAAAATTAAATTACAATATTTTAAAATTCTGTGCATAATCTCCATTTATTTTTATTTAAAACTACTATTAAAAATGGTTACTTTTTGATAAAAAAAAAGAAAAATGCAAAAATCGTGTGTCAGGATAGTTCACCGGACCCAAACTACTGAAACTTAAAACTGGAGTAGCTGTAAAATAACATCACACGATAGGTAAATAATGGATTTTAGTACAACCCTTGTACAATATTACAAATATAGCTAGAGACGTGAGAAATATAAAATAAGAGACGCCCCTCGATGCGCAGTGGACAGCCCACAAATTTGCTTGAATCAGATTTTTCGTAGCGTAACTGCATCTCTCTTCCGCCGAAAAAATAATGTCAAAAGGTACTGGTTTAAAAAAAAATAAGATTAAAGTTAATTGATCAACTTTTAAGGTATAAAATTTGGCTAGTATTGTTATTAATAAAATATTTTGTTTTATTTATTCCTGTGGAATATTACGAATTTTTATTTGCACATAAGTTATATTGATAAATATAATAATAAATGCAGGAAGTTTCTTGAAGCTAGAAAATAAGGAATAGTTATTTTTTATATTTTTTTTTTGTATGTGGTGTTTGGTTTTTTATTTTTTGTATTAACACATACCGTAATTTTTTTTAAATAAAGTTACCCGATTAGATTTTTTCAGTTTTATACAGTTTTTTTTCACAATATTTTGAAGTAATCATTTGTCACTCAAATTTTAAATATATTAATTGTGAAAACATTTCAAAGCACCTTTTTACGTAGAATTTAATGGTTTAAGTATAATTTTTAAAATTCATAATTTAAGAGTTATCAACAGAAAAATTGATTTTTATTTGCGACACCCTCTATATTTTTAATTAGCTTTAAAGAATTTAAAATTACCTTTCCAAAAATATAGCACACTTGATATTTTGTTATAATCCCCTTCGAAATACAGAATTTTTAAAAGTTCGCCACTTTTAACTAGTAGGCTTTGGACCCCTTATTGATGATATGCCCTTAATGGAACTCGAAAACATATTTTTCCAGCAAGACGACTGAACGCTGAAGTTATCAGCAAATTTTTGCAGCCAATTTCAAGAATAATTGAATAACTAACCAAGATCCCAAACTTTGGCCGTCGAGGCCGCCTGACTTAGTGCCCATGGATCTAATCCTATGGATATATTTGCGGAAGAATAAAGGTTCCTTATTCCGTATAATCTAGACAAGAATTAGAAATACTTAGCAGTTATGAGAGGGTATCTTTCACCCCCACTGAGTTAATGAATTCTGCGAGAAATGTTCAAAAACTGCCCCGTCTGTCCATAACAGAAGACGGTTGATATGTCGAACACCTGTAGCAAAATCTCATGTCTTGGTTTGCTATTTATTTTATTGTTATTAGATATAGTTTAAATGTGTTGATGTTGGTTAAATATATTTTAAATTGTTATAAAATTCTGCATCTCTCATAACAAATATTATTTTCGTTTTAATTGATGCTCACAGCTTGAATTTTTTGCATTATAGCCGGTGCCGTTCAAAGCCTACTCATTTAAAGCGGGCAAATTTTTATATATTCTCTATCTCGAAGAGGAATCGAGCAAAATATCAAGTGTGTTATATTTTTGGAAAGGTAATTTTAAATTCTTTTCAATAAACTAAAAATATACAGGGTGTCCCATATAAAAAATCAAATTTTCTGTTGATAATTCTTAAATTATTAATTTAAAAAAATATATACTTAAACCATTAAATTCTACGTAAAAAAGTACTTTGGAAATGTCTTCATAAAAATACAAAATTTTCCATAGCAAAAAAGTTACAGCGATTTATATAAAATGCATTTTTTTGAAAAACACCCCGTAACTCCGAAACGGTAACAGATATCGATATGCGGTTTTCACCATCATGTTTTTGACAAAAATTGAGGTCCAGATACCAATATTAGTTTTTGTCTATTTCCTATAGAAAAGGGTGTTTCCATTTAAAAGCGTCGAATTTGACCCACCCTGTACATAAGTTATATTGATAAATATAATAATAAATGCAGGAAGTTTCTTGAAGCTAGAAAATAAGGAATAGTTATTTTTTATATTTTTTTTGTATGTGGTGTTTCGTTTTTTATTTTTTGTATTAACACATACCGTAATTTTTTTTTTAAATAAAGTAACCCGATTAGATTTTTTCAATTTTATACAGTTTTTTTTCACAATATTTTGAAGTAATCATTTGTCACTCAAATTTTAAATATATTAATTTCCTGCGATGCGTTCCAATTGTACCAACTTATGTTTTTATAAAATAAAATTAACTACTTTGAAATTAAAATGACAGACACATCTATCCCTGCATCTATCACTGTCAAGGATTTTATCGTTGGACAGACTATAGTAGATAAAATAGTACTTTAACCGCAAAGGTAGATTAAATGATACTTTAACAGCGAGGATATAAAATACAATACTTTATTTCGCCTCGCACGTTTTTTAATTGCTTCCATTTTTGAAAATTTTTGTATTCCTTTTCATAAGTTATTCGGGATTTAAATGGAAGTAGTTTGGATATGGCGTTTGTCGCCTCAGCCTGAATATCTGTTGGTAATTTACTTATTTCGTTTTGAGCCATTTCTGGCTCCAATTCAATCAGCAATCGACACGACAGAGAATTAAAAAATATTGACTCAAAACTGACAACTAAAGAGATAGCTTTATTTATTTGTCAAATTACAAAGAAACCAAAGCCAACCCAGCACAATATTTTTTCTACTCGTAATAAATTCCTTGAAATAATAATTTCTGAATATTTTTTAAAACGTAACTCGCTATGGAAAAAATATTGTTTTATACACGACGATAAAATTGCATTATCGTCTCCCGAAATTAATTCACTCGCGAATTAACACACTCGTGAATTAATCTTTTCGGTCAACGATAAAATGCTATTTTATCGTCTTGTATAAAAAATAACTATTCTTGAATGGAAGCGGAAGACTTTCTTCGTCTAAAATAAAAATATAATTTCAAATTAAATAAATATATTCTCTAAATGAAAATAATAAATATAAGAATATCACATTCCTCACAGAGGAATATATTCTTTTCGTTATATACAAAGCATACATTATCACAAAATAAAACAAAGTTGCTTTGAAGAAAGAATTTATTTTTCTACTACTGTGCGTCGTCAGTATAAGATGATTTTTTACATTTCAACTTTCGACAAATTTATACCTTCCCCATATAATAGATGGCTCTATTATAATACTACGTTTACCTATTGAGCAACGAAGTTATCAGAGATTATTTTAATCGATTGTGGTGTGTATTGTCGTGGTTGCGATGTTGCAATATTGTAAAAATAATTAGACACAAACTAATACTAAAAAATAAATCTGCTCTTTATTAGTATATCATTATTTATATTTTGTTGTATTATGATTGTTGTCAGCTGTAAAATAATTAAAGGTTTTTAAATTTATATTATGTTGTGTTATGATTATTACGAGGATTATTATTAGCTCAAAATTTACTATAAGTATGTCCCCGGATTATCTTTTTGTCCCAACTTTTTTATTGTTAATTTTTTAAGGAAAATATATTCTTCAAAAAAGCTTTTCCAAAAACAGAAAAAATATTTCTTTTAGAGATTTTCTCAAATAACTCAAGATCTCTTACAGATATCTAAAAACGGCAGTCTCTCTCAGTGCTAGGTAAAATGAACTATCAGTAAGGATATTTTTTGTTGCGATCTTAGACATTTCGATTTTTGACAAAATCGACAGGGGGTGCCTAGGAATTTTTTCGAAAAATTTTGAAACATCGTTTTTTTTCTTATTTCGTAATATATGTTGTAGTAGTGAATATGTACTTTACAAAACCGTTTCGCTTTTGAGATTGACACTTTTTGTTTCAGAGATAAATATTGGAGAGTAAATATTTCGGGAAACCAAAGGGGAAACAGAAAAAATTAAATTTATCATGCGCTAAGTTCTTGGCTTTTTCCAAATATGCTAATGAACCACCCTCGTTCCATTTGAACCATTAAAATTGAGTTATGTTTCAAAATACGATTTCGGCATCAATCCTGATTTATGTCATATACTAACATACCAAATCTCGTTATTTTATCTCAAAAAAATAAAAAAATTATAGAGTAAGCTACTTTTGAAAAACATCCGGTATAATTATGTGATACCAAATTACCTCATTTTATTTTAATTAAAACTCTATTCACTCAAATATTCTTTAAATTATGAATAATAAACTCCGTCTCCGTTTGATTGATTTTTTTTTTATTATCTGAGTTATTTATAGATAATTAATAATCTAGTCTTTGATCCCACATTTTTATACAATAAATTATATGACAAAAAGTAAACACAACGACGAAAAATAATTTCTTATCTGCATAATAAATCTATGAAATATAATACTTATCTCCTACCGTTAAAAGTTACGTAGTTTCCAAATAATAACAGTTTCAAAGTTGGCTTGAAAATGAAGATCGCTGTCATTTTAAATGTAAAATTACATGGGGAATGTCAGCGATCGTCATTTCTAAACCAACTGGACACCTTTTCTTTATCATACACAAAACATATTTGAAATTGATAAAATCGAAAGTACCTATTATAATAATTATTACTATACCGGGTGCGTCTCAAAAGTGGCTCACCCCCTATAACTTTTTTATTTTTTCAGATAAAAAAACGAGATTTGATATGTTTGTATAAGAAATAAATTAGGATTGATTGACGTATTCAATTATTTTTGACCACTTCCTGTTTCACCGGAAATGACTACAGCTTTTGATTTTTAAATGTCTCGGTATCTCGGTATATTTCTACTTTATTTCGATAGAAAATGACACTCTGAATAAAATGACATAGCATATGTCAACTTTTGACACGTTCGTTTAAACACAAATCGTAATTTGAATTTCAATATGTCATGGCTGTGTTAAAAACACTAACTTTTAATATAGGAGCCAAAAATAGATTTGATAGTCTAATGTTTTTAGTGTCTTGTCCTGGCCCGTTAAAAGATGCCCAAATCGTATTTTTAATCATATCTCAACTTTTTTAAATGGAACGAGGGTGGCACGTTAGTATATTTGGAAAAAGCACTTTTTAGGAATAATTTGATACCGCACACTTGGTATTTCGAGTCAAATTGTCGTTTTGAACCGCATGTTACAATTTCAAATAAACCATATGTGAAAATGTTAAAAGCTGACATATGGTATGTTATTCTATTCAGAGTGTCATTTTCTATCGAATAAAGTAAAAAAAATGCCGACGGTGTCATTTAAAAAAAAATCAAAAGTTGGAGCCATTTCCGGTGAAAGAGGAAGTGACCGAAAACAATTGAATACGTCAATCAATCTTAATTTATGTCGTATACTAACATACCAAATCTCTTTTTTTTATCTAAAAAAATAAAAAAGTTATAGGGGTGAGCCACTTTTGAGACGCACCCGGTATTGGCTTATTAAAAATAATAAATCCTTCTTTTGGAATTATTATCAACATTTACTTATTTCTTTTTTTATCACCTCGTGTAGCTATATTATAGATTATTATAAAAATAAATATGTACATAATCGGCAAATTTTATTAACTAATACGGATATATCTTCAATTAGCAAATTTTAGATGAATTAAACAATGTTTTGAAATTTATCTTAAAAAAAGTATAACATCACCTTAGCAACTAAGGAAATTTACAATGCCAACATTACACGTACATATTTAGGTTTTTTTATCCTATGATAATATTGTGATATACCAATATTTTGAAATATCAAAAAAACGTTCCTATGAAAACTTGAACCCTATGAAATTGTATTATAGCGGCAATTACCAAGTCATTATAATTAACACAGAAATAAAGATGTCTATAATATTGATACTAACAATTTATAACAAAATTGTTGAACAGGTGCTTAAATAGAAACTAAATAAAATAAACTGACTTGGTTTTACATGAGATCTCACAACTTTTTTATAGCAGAAGAATTGTGTTGCCAGACTTGGCATTTTTTACATTCTGTGTTTTTGATGGGATTAATGCTGGGAAGCAAAGGTTTTATAGATTGTTATCAAATCAAAAACGCCGAAAAAAAAACGTGTTAAAAGTATATTATGTTTTAATTGTCATATTGTTCTGAATAAATAATAAGTTAGTAATTAATTCAAAAGTATTTCTGTTTTTATTCACTAGTTGTGTACTAAAAAACCTAAGCAATATTCATAGTTATAAATACCAAAATCTTACCACTGGAATCGCCATGTTCACCAATAATCCATCCGTGAACACTGCTGGGAGCTACACCGAGCTTCTGTGAGATCAAGAACCTGAATCTGGACGTATCCAAGTTCGTTCCAGAACCGATAACCCTATTTTTAGGAAGGCCGCTAAGTTTCCAGGCCACGTAGGTTAAAATATCGACAGGGTTGCTGACTACTAACAGGATGGTGTCTGGAGAATACTGGACTAGCTTGGGGACAATGTGTTTGAGAACATCGGTGTTGCGTTGAACTAGGTCCAAACGAGATTCACCTTCTTTTTGTCTGACACCTAAAAAAGAAAAGTAAAATCTAAGTAACCTCTAGAAAAGTGTCAAATTTTATTTCTTGTTGTAAATATTTTATACGAGTATTTAATAAATATATTATATACAGGGTGCAAATATATACAGGTATATATTTGTTTAAATGCGGACCTGCATTTTTTATTTCAGATTTTGAAAGAACTCAGTCTCCTGAGTACAATGATATGCCACACTTTATCCTTTTTTTTGTTTGGGTACCTTAACAGCAACAAAACTGTTTAATTATTATTTAAAAAAATTTCAAGTCCGACTCTGTTTTTTAAATTATTTAATCTGATTATATTCATCGGAACAATATTGATCAGTGCTAATTAACATTGAATAAGGAAAATTGAGCCAATTGAAAAATTCAAATAAATAATATCCAGATCAGCAATTTAAAGATATTATTTTTAACTTCTCTTATTGTCAATTTGAAATTCTCAGTATACGATCTAATAATTTGCATAATATCAATCGTAGTTATTATGAATAAATTAACTTCTACAAACTAGTTTCTAATGCTCTACATAGTCTACATGTTCGAAAGGGTTACCGCACCCTCCCTATTACACAAATTTATTTTTCGTTCAATTTTATTTATAGCTTTTGAATAGATCTTCTTCGTATACTTTCGAATGCATTTTGTACTCTTTATTGTAACTGTCGAGATGTGTTGATTTCACTTTTTTGTAAAATTTGGACCTGTCGAATTACTTGACGTTATCAGACGGTCCAGGAACCTCGCTGGTCATTATACTGCTCTACCATTTCCAATCCATCTTCCGGGGAAATTATTTGATTGTTTATATTACATTTTATTTATATTATTTTTTATTATTTTATTACATTTGATTTTCCGTATTCAATCCACGTCACTGTTAAGTTTGAAAGCTTATCAATATTGTAAGGATGAATATATTAAATATTAAAAAAAACAGAGCCGAACTTTAGTTTAAATAAATTGTGTCCAAATTTCAAAAACAAAAAAAAATATTAAGTGTGGCATATCATTGTACTCAGGAGAGCGGGTTCTTTCAAAATTTGAAATAAAAAATTCAGGTCCGTATTTAAAAAAATTAAGTTGGCCTCTGTATCTCACAAATTATCAGCTAATTAAATCTAAAAATACCCAAGTAGCAAATTTTATTTTATAAAGGCTGTATAAACTGCTATGTGATAATTTTTATAGGATACCTCAATTCATATAACGTGCTATATGACCGTAATATGATAGCTTTACAACCAAAAAAGGCCCATTTTTATACAACCGTTTAGTAGTATAGAAGTTCTATAATAAGGGTATACAACTCTTATGCAACTATTTTACACAGCGTTATATGACTATTATAAAACTAGTTTTATTGTGTATTACGTGGTCACATCTAAGAAACAGAACAATAAAAACATTTGATCATTTAGCGAGGTACAAGAGTATTTTATTTTTTACCGAAGAATATTAGGAGCAAATTATATTTTAAGCCTGTCGTAAAATGAATCTAGAGGATGTGGATTGTTAAAAATGAGACTTTACTCGACGGTAAAAATGGCGGGTAGAGCCAGAAGGTACAACAAATATGTAATATAAAAAATCATTAATAGGGTTTGAAAAGTAGGGACAATTTTTATTGCGCCGAAAATTTTACTGGTAGATTATAGGTATGTATTTGGCAAAAAATTAAAGCGCTTTAATTTCGATTAAGAAAGAAAGAAATTGCTTTATTGTCATAAAAAATTTTACAATTTTGTTGACAAAGCTTAAAAAAAAGAATATAAAAAACATACAAAACTTCACTTAACAATAGAAAAACATATAAAACTAACAGCAAACATACAGAACTAAAACAATACTTTATACAATTATAGAAATTGTACATTGTCAAAAATTTATTTAATTAAATATAAATAAAATATAAACATACATGTAAATAAACAACTGTATATAATGTCAATACTAAATTTAAATGGATAGAAAACAAATCATTTCTTAAATTTAGTGAATGTGTGTTAAATTTAGAACCCTAGATATTAATAAAAAAATCGTTAACCGCGTAAAAGGCTTTCTCCAGTAAGTATGATCTCAAGGCTCTGCGAAATGCAGGAAAGGATGAAATGGAATTAATTTCAGATGGCAGATGATAGTGCATTTTTTTTTGCATTGTACAATTGGGAACTCTTTACTAACTCAGAGTGAGGGGTTGGCAGATACATGTTATGCTCTGCGTTCCTAATTGGATAGCCATGAACTGGCTCTAGAGAAATACTCGATACGTGCTTGCGAACTAGGCAGACGGATTCGAGTATGAATAGGGAAGGAAGAGTTAATATTTTATATCTTCTAAACAAGTCCCGGCAGTGAGCACAACTGGTTAGCCTCAGTGAATATCGCACAGCTCTCTTTTGTAATTTGAAGATACGCTCAAATTGAGTCGCACAACACGCACCCCAGAATGGAAGTGCGTATCGGAGATGCGACTCATAAAGGGCATAATAGACTGTCCTAGATGTTGACAAATTAAGCACATTAGCAACTGATCTAAGTGCGAAACAGGCAGAACTTAATTTTTTAGCTAAAGCATCGATGTGCAAATCCCATTTTAAATAGTTGTCCACAACAAGGCCTAAAAATTTCACAGAATCAACGACGTCAATGGTGGTATTATCAAGTTGAAAAGGTAGCAACGTACTTTTATATGATAAGACTTTAGTTTTAGAGACGTTGAGACACAGATAATTAGAATCGCACCATGTTTTTATGTTGATTAAGTCACTGGAAATGGTTCTATGAAGTGCCGTGGTGTCCGGGCTGCTCCATGTGAAACAAGTATCATCCGCGAAGAGACAGATTTTACCACTGATGTCCAGACTAGCAATATCGTTGATAAACAACAGAAACAAAATAGGACCTAGCACTGAGCCCTGAGGTACTCCGCATTCTATTGGCTTGCAAGAAGACACAGTCTTATCAACCCTCACACGCTGGTTTCTGTTGTTAAGGTAGGACTTAAACCATTCAAGAGGCGTTCCCCTGATACCATAGTACTGCAATTTGTTAGTTAGGATGTTATGATTAACACAATCGAAAGCTTTCGAGAAATCACAGAAAATTGTTGCTGTAACGAGACGGTTGTTCAGACTGGAGTATACATTATTAAACAGCGAAAACATAGCGTCATTTGTACATTTGTTACTCAAGAACCCAAACTGAAAGGGGGTGAGTATTTTGTATTTTAGAAGAAATGATACAAGCCTCTTTTTAACCAGTCTCTCCATGATCTTCGATAACGTGGGAAGGAGTGCAATTCGACGATAGTTGGAAGCTTGCTCTTTATCACCTCCTTTATGCAAAGGAATAATTATAGCCGACTTAAGGCAATTTGGAAAAGCACCATCTTCAAATGACATATTAATTAAGGCTGAAAGATGGTTTAATGTACATTCCGGCATACTAGAGAACATTTTAAGAGTAAGTCCGTCAGTCCCTGCTGAAGATTTATTTTTAATATCATTTAATGTATTGCGAAGCTCTGCCAACCCCACAGGCGTAAGGAAGAAACTGTGCAAATTAACATTATAGTCAGAGAGAAATGATAGAGGATCCAGGGAGGGTGAGATAGTATTCACTAAGATTAAGGTTTACATATAAATTTAAACAATAAAATAAAATAAAATTTTCAAAAATTCTTGTTTTTAATTTAATTAAACACTTTATTACTGTATGTGGGAATCTTATCACAAAATAGTTCTCAAAAATAACATTTTACAAGTTATTTTGATGTTTTTGATTTTGCTTCATATAATGGCGGCCATAGGCCATACAAAAATTCTGCCTTAAACATGACGAATTATAATGCAACCATTTTATTGTAAATAAATCCCTTAAATAAGTCTTTGTTGTAAAATAAAACGGTATAGGATAAATATTTATCATTACGCAGAATTTCCAGACACTATAGAACTATTTTGGACATATTGAGATTTGTGACAAATAGATGTTGCCAAATCTCATTTGATTAGTATTTAAACTAACAAACATGATCAGATTTACATGGATGCACGCAATGCATTTCAATCGTGCCCGACGAGTGAGCGGCAACCTAAGGACTTGGAAAAACAACAATAAAATAATACAAACATTACTACAGTAAAACTTTTACATCAACGTGGCAACAATGCTTTGAAGAAGCCAGACAACCCGAGAGATTTTGGCTTTTGAGAACCCAGGGAATCCTCGGGATTATTTGCCGTAATTTCGAGGAGTTTTTTCTTACATGCATACCAAACCAAACTACCACTGCGTTTGTTAACTTTTTTCCAACTTTGTCCCGAATCCATAATAGCTGTGATTGAGTATACGCGTACGTAGATATTACTTTTGCAGCAACAACAATAACAAAATAAATAACTAGGTATACCATTTAATTTAAAATGAGGTTATATTATATATTACCAGTTTTATAATGCAGATATTACAGTGAATTTATTTTGTTAATCACAATTTTAGCATATAAGGCTATATAACTGGTGTTGTATACAGCAACGCAGTTTAACGCAATAAAACATTCTATCATACAACGTAATACAACTTTATTAAGACAAGTTTAAGTAACTATTATATGATTTTGTGACTACTAGTTATATGAATATTATAGAACTCTTACATGGTGAGTATAAGAGTCTAATAAAAAAAATATGTTTGTTATCATATAGCATTGTCTGATTAAGTGTTATATCATACTAAAAGAAATGATCGTTTAATGCGTTATAGGATACGTTGTAAAAACCACTAGAAAATAGTTTAATATGACAACTTTTATTAAAAAACAGAATGGTCGAAACCAAACGCTTAATAAAATCAAGCAGTCCTTAAGACAACGCTATTCGACTGTTATAAAATAATTCAATCCTTTTAGAATTTCTTTTTGCTACTTGGGTACTATCAGATAGCCCTAATAAAGTGGCTATGAGAATACGCAATTAGTTTTTT